ATTCAACACTTGTTGGGGGAAGAATCCTTCAGCCTCTACGTACTCCTTGAATTCCTGCACAAATTTTTCAGCCGCACATTTATCAGAACTTGCAGCCTCTCCATGTCTTACCACACTGTGTATTCCACTACACTTCTTAAATCTCTCAAACCAGCCTTTGCTGGCCTTAAATTCTCTAACATAAGCACTTGTTCCAGGCATTTTCTTTTCAAGATTCACATGCAGCTGCCTTGCTTTCTCACAGATCATCGACTCCACAATACTATCTCCTGCTAATTGTGTTTTGGTGGGACCAGCAACTTCTTCATATCTTCCATTATCAGTGACCTTTGTTTAGTTAGCACATTTACTCCTTTCACCACATCAGCTTCCTTGATTTGTTCTTTCTTTGCCAAGATAGAAGTGATTGTTGATTCGTTTTTCCCATACATCCTGGCAAGTTCTAGCACTTGAGCACCACTCTCATAGTTTTCAACAACTTCTTTCTTAAATTCCATCATGTTTCTCACTTTCTTTACCTAGGGAACTTTACTAGGAACTATCTTTGGGGCCATGGTTACTTATTTCCCAGTTGCACTTAATCGATAACCACGAAAATCAATGAATTATAGCAGAATGTTTGGGTAAATGTGCAGAAGCTTCCTCACTCTCCCAGAGACAAAGCCAGATTGATGCGCTCACGGCTGTTGGCGGCGGGTTGACGTGTACCATACGGCCGATAACCAGAAGCCAAAAAATCAGCCAATAAGCGAGTTGACCGATAAGCGGAACCGTCGATAACTGAGGGTCAACTGTACTCTAATAATTATACTTATGTGTACCTGTACCTAAATGTACTTGCACACTGTGCTGGCATGCAGGTATACATTAAAATCACTAAGAGTGTCTTATTAGTCTTGAAGATGCCATATTAATAATGATAATAATAACAATAATTAAAGGTAGTAGGTTGGTAGACAGCAACCGCCCAGGGAGGTACCACCGTCCTGCCAAGTGAGTGTAAAACTGAAGCCTGTAATTGTTTTACACGATGGTTGGATTGCTGGTGTCTTTTTTTTTCTGTCTCATACACATGCAAGATTTCAGGTACGTCTTGCTACTTCTACTTACACTTAGGTCACACTACACATACATGTACAAGCATATATATACACACCCCTTTGGGTTTTCTTCTATTTTCTTTCTAGTTCTTGTTTATTTCCTCTTACCTCCATGGGGAAGTGGAACAGAATTCTTCCTCCGTAAGCCATGCGTGTTGTAAGAGGCGACTAAAATGCCGGGAGCAAGGGGCTAGTAACCCCTTCTCCTGTATATATTACTAAATGTAAAAGGAGAAACTTTCGTTTTTTCTTTTGGGCCACCCCGCCTCGGTGGGATACAGCCAGTGTGTTGAAAGAAGAAAGAAATAACAATAATAGTAGCACAATAATAATCACTATGAGGCGCATTAAACGTCGTGCATTATGTTAATATAGACATTTTGATTAATCCATCTATGATATTTTTTTTAAATTTTATAATAAACATGCCATGTAACATATAAAATGATTAATACACCCCATGCCACCGTAATGCCATGATGTCATTGGCAGCAAATGCCTGCACCTCACCACTACGAGTGCTTGTGTTGAACCTGGGCATGTGCTTACGATTAGAACGCACTGTGCCATACACGTCTGTCATGTTAACTCACAAGAAATCACTGAGTAAGGGGCTTGTGTACCAGTTATCAGTATATAATGTATGTCCTTTACCAAGATATGGTGCCATCATTGTTCTCACTATGTCACCTGAGATACCCAATAACATCCTGGTATCTTTCAATGTTTTACTTCCCGTGTATACGTTATGTCCAATACCAGGCCACTGTCATAGTCACAGAGTATAAACAGTTTTGTACCAAAGTGTTTCCTCTTGCTAGATATATACTGCTTGAACGACAGTCTACCTTTGATCAAAATCAAAAACTCGTCAATTACAAGATTCTTGAATGGATAAAAGTACATGTTAAACTTTTGTTTCAGATGCACAAAAACATTTCTAATCTTGTATAACCTGTCATTTCTGTCAGGCCTGGTTTTGTCAGAGAAGTGCAACATAGGTAACAGTAAGATAAATCTGTTCACTGGGATGATTTCACTGAAGGGTGGGGTAGAAATTAGCACATCTATGGACCATTATGATTTAATATTATGCTGATAGACATGAGGCATAAGCATTATTGTTGCAAAAAAACAAATACAATTTAGCCACAGTTGTCTCCTTCCACCGATGTAGTCTTGACTGTGGTGATATCATTGTATTTGGCATGGTGTAATCAAAGTACTTGTTACTTTCCCTGACAATATTTTCAATCAAGGGCTGGTTAAAGAACAGTTCAAAGAATTCCAGTTCACTTGCAGTGTTTCCAGTGAAACAAGATGGCAGGAGTCCACCTTGAGTGTCATCAAACTGATGGGGATTGGGAATAAAATTGGGATTTTGCTGCCAATCCCAGATGTGATTTGCTGGTGGATACTGGACATCATAAGCTGGTTGTGGTTGTGATTGTGCAGGTTGTGGTGTAGGGGTGGAGGACGATCCACTTTGTCCTGGACCAGCTGACTCAGTGGCATGAGTTGGTGCCGCTTGCTGCATGCCTGTGGCACCACCTGCTAACACATGTGGTCTATCCATCCCATTTGAAGCCACATCGTCATCACTTTCACTGTCTATTCCAGGTGTAGGGCCACAAAATGTACTCCGGGATGTGCTCCGTCCTCTTGCAATTGCACATGGTACACTACCCGAGCGCATGCGGCGGCATATAGTACAGTGGACCCCCGCATAGCGACTTTAATCCGTGCAAGAGGGCTCATTGTTATGCGAAATGATCGGTATGCGAATGAATTTTCCCCATAAGAAATAATGGAAATCAAATTAATCCGTGCAAGACACCCAAAAGTATGAAAAAAAAAATTTTACCACATGAAATATACATTTTTCTACACACAAAGAGAAGGATACATGCACAATAGTAGAGTAGTACATGCACAATATATATTGTGCATGTACTACTCTACTAAATGAAGAATAAATGACACTTACCTTTATTGAAGATGCAGCAATGACTGATGAGACACTGTGTCCTGGGAGTGCCTTTTCCTCCTGAGTACTGTAGGTCCTGTTTGGCATTTTCTTCCAGAACAGGCCTTATCACACTGTGTATGCCACTATGATTCTTAAATCTCTCAAACCAACCTTTGCTGGCTTTAAATTCACCAATATGAGCACTAGTTCCAGGCATTTTTCCCTGTTCACCTGGGTGTTAGTCGACTGGTGTGGGTTGCATCCTGGGAGACAAGATTAAGGACCCCAATGGAAATAAGTTAGACAGTCTTCGATGACACTGACTTTTTTGGGTTATCCTGGGTGGCAAATCCTCTGGGGTTAATTGTTTCTTGGTATTCTCAATAAGCCACACCAACAATGGTGCTACAGCAGCAGCAGCAGCAGCAGCTGACAGTGCTACAGCAGCAGCAGCTGACAGCTGGACAGTGCTACAGCCAGCAGCAGCAGCAGCTGACAGTGCTACAGCAGCAGCAGCAGCTGACAGTGCTACAGCAGCAGCAGACGATGCTACAGCAGCAGCAGACGATGCTACAGCAGCAGCAGACGGTACTACAGCAGCAGCTGACGGTGGTACAGCAGCAGCAGCAGCTGACAGTGCAGCAGCAGCAGCAGCAGCAGCTGACGGTGGTACAGCAGCAGCAGCAGCTGTACCACCAATAGTAGCGATGGTTGATTGGGGTTTATTATACAACCTGGCCAGCTCGGAGACACGCACTCCACTTTCATACTTATCAATGATCTTTTTCTTCATCTCTATAGTAATTCTCACCCTTATTGCTGTAGGGTTGGCACTAGAAGCTTTCTTGGGCCCCATGGTCACTTATTTTGCAGATAAAATCACCAAAAACACTGTAATAATACGAAATGTTCCGATTGTATGCTTGGATGTTACCACGGAGGCTGGCTGGTAAACAATGTCACCGGCGGCACATGTGAGGCTGGTTAAGGGCGCACATTGGACACGTCTCGGACGAAGAGCGGTGAGTGGGTTTTTTTGAGCGGTATGCGAGGCAAAATTTTTGCGATAAAAGCGAGCGGTATGCGGATTGAACGTTATGTGATGCGTACGGTATGCGGGGGTCCACTGTATACTGACGCTTCACTGGTGAATATGATTCCTCACTATCACTACTCAAATGGTCATCAAGAGCAATAAAATCAAAGTCCACATCACTATCATCACCATTACTCAAATCCGAGGCCTGGCCATGCGAAAATATTAGTTTTCTCTTGCGACGAGGTACAACTGAACGTGCCTGAGACGCACCAGCACCAAAGGTGGAAGGTTGAGGATTGTCAGGATTTTCAGCACTATTTTCGATATCCTGAGCATTGCTTTCAGTCACAAATTTATCAAATCCATAGAATTCATCTTCAGATCCACTTCCATCAGTGTTGGAACTATCACTTGGGAACAGTAGAGTCCAAATTCACAGAAGAGTGAGAGCATCCTTGTTGTGAGACACGGTGAACAAAGCATACTGAAATGGCATTCCCACAATGCCATGCAGGCACCCAGATTTTTTGTTTACTGCCCACACTGACCACGCAGATGTTGGCCTGCCAGCCTTCTTGCACTAAATTTGAAGCCGCTAGAATTTTGACATAGTTCTACGGCTTGGACCCTGGCTTCAAAGCCGTAGAACTATGTGATTAACCCTGAAAGGGTTAAAGGAGGGGTTTGGGATATTGGCTGTTTGGAGTGACATCTAAACTGTCATATATGGGCACCTCTGCAAAGACAGTGATATTGTATGACAGATGACAAAAGTGTTGAATGATGGTGAAAGTGTTTCTTTTTTTGGGCCAATCCTGCCTCGGTGGGAGATGGCCGACATGTTAAAAGGAAAATTATATAATTCAGTTTCCCCATCATAATTTTTTTATAGAACTGTTTCAGTGGAAGTAGTGCGAGAGACACTGACGTGGCTGGTGATTCATGCAACTAGATTATATCCTACAGCAACGCATGTAAGTTATTATGAATTAAACACATGTTCAACATCTGGCTATCTTTAATTTGTCTAATTCATCATTTTGTTACTGAATACCATCTATATACAACATGTAAGTTGTATTTGTACTGAATATATTTAGTCGTCTTTAATCATAAGCCAACTTGTAATCCTTAAAACAGTTAAACTCAATAAATTTATTGTTACAACCACTTAGAAACTGTATATATGCACAATCAGTCAATTATTGCCTTAGTCCTCAGATAGGCATAGAGTTTGCCTGAAATGCTCTGCATACTAATGGACTTTCTTTATGCATGCCTAAATGTACAAACATTGTATCATGCTGAAATAAGGAATCTTTGATCTTTAATAGAGAATAATAAATGTTAAAAAGCATGAAAGACAGGAGTGTATCATAAAGTGCTGTAGTTAGAAGAGGAAGTGTAAATATTTCCTTGCTTTGTGAAACTTTAACTCAAATTATTCAAACTTGCCCTCAGCCTCTGGCATTTTTTTCTGGTGACTCCATGAATCTCTGAGTGATTCATCTGAATTTTCCATAGAGTGAATTTTGCTTCTCTTTGCTTGAGACATGATACATTTATAGATTTATAAAAGGCATATGATAGGGTGGATAGGGGAGCAATGTGGCAGATGTTGCAAGTGTATGGAATAGGTGGTAGGTTTCTGAATGCTGTTAAGTTTTTATGAGGATAGTAAGGCTCATGGTAGGGTATGTAGGAGAGAGAGATAATATTTTACAGTAAAAGTAGGCCTTAGGAATGCATGATGTCACCATGGTTGTTTAATATATTTATGGATGGGGTTGTAAAAGAAGGGAATGCAGGGGTGCTGGGTGAAAATATGTTGAATCTAATACACAATTTATTTATTTATTTATTTATTTATTAATTTGAACATGATACAGTGAAGTACAAAGTTATTACAGTGCAACAATGGTGAGCTATCACAGTTGCTTTTTGCTGGTGACACTGTGCTTTTGGGAGAGTCTGAATTTTGGAGGGTATGTAAAAGTATGAAATTAAAAGTGAACAAAGGAAAGAGCAAGGTGATGAGGGTAACAAATTGGCAATGAAAGATTGGATATCAGATTGGAAGGATACCTTTAATGAGTTAACATAAGAACATAAGAAAGAATGAACACTGCAGCAGGCCTACTGGCCCATGTGAGGCAAGTCCAAGTCACCTTCCAGCTTAAACCAATGACCCACCTAGTCAGGTCATGTCAGGTCACATTCACTTAAGGAAGGAGCACAGCATCAGACCTGTTAGCACAAGCTAGTCAGGTCTTAGCTTTTATCATGGTACTCGAGAGTTTGTCCTATTCATCCACAACTCTGTTACCAAACCAATGCTTTCCTATATCCTTCCTGAATCTGAATTTTTCCAACTTAAAACCATTGCTGCGAGTCCTGAGTTTTTTCTACTCCCAGAGCTTGGCCTTGGGCCAGGCTCATCTGGTGCTTGCCTGGTCAACCAAGCCATTGATTGCTGTTGGTGACCTGCTGCCCCACATATCCATCATAGCCTGGTTGATCTGGCACCTGGTGAGGATACTTATCCCGTGTCCTCTTGAAGACTTCTACACTTGTTCCAGTAGTGTTTCTGATATCTTCTGGTAAGATGTTGAATAGTCTGGGGCCACGAACATTGATACAATGTTCCCTTATTGTGCCCACTGCACTCCTGATTTTCACTGGGTTTATTTTGCACTTCTTCCCAATATTTCTTACTCCAGTATGTTGGCAGTATGCAGATTTGGGACAAGGTCCTCAAGTATTTTCTCTCTCTCTTCTTCTCCAGTGAGCACATATTTAAGACTTTAAGGCATTCCCTGTTATTTAGATATACAGTGGACCCTCGCCTAACGATATTAACCCCTTCAAGGTCCAAGGCCAAAATCTGAAGTGGTGCTCCAGTGTCCAAGAAATTTTGAAAAAAAAAAAAATTGTTTTTTCTTACAGAATTAAAGAGCATATTTTTCTGAAGGTAATAAGACAAAAAAAAATTCTGATAGTACTTACCGAGATACAGTGCCAAGAAGTTTGTCAAAAATGATGTGGTGGCGGCAACATCGACGAATTCCACATACACGCATTACATTATTTAGCGGTTTTTATAGTTTTTTTCTTTTCTTTTCCAATTTTTTTCTATTCTTACTAACATTTGGGGCCTGAGAGACCAATACTGTATATAATGTATATATATAAACTCACTGTATTGAACACAATAACTGCACTAAAGTTATTATCATATTATTGTTTACCACTGTTGTTTATTACAATAAACATGCACAAATCTTGTATAATACTAATGTTCTATCATATATTTACATATTTACAATCACTGGACATGGTTTTAGAACTGCTGGAGCTTGTGGAACTCCTTGAAACAAGGCACCATGCACAGAGGCACCTTACATTCCTCACACATAAACCGAGTGTCTTTGCATCTTTGTTGCCGTCATTTTGTTTGTGCACAGACGATGCATCTCTTCTGAGCAAATTTCTTCTGAGTTGAAGGAAGCTGTATTATGAAATGATCACCTTCCCTCCTCAAACGCTTGGGTATATCCTGAGTAATTCGAGGACCTTGTTGTATAGCAGGTGTTCTTACCTGGTACTTCATTATGAGTTGTCTGACAACAGACAAACAAAATTCACCATACGGTGGTCTGTTGCCAGTCTTTATTTGGTACATATTATATGCATTGAGCATTGAAATGTCCATGAGATGGAAGAAAAGTTTCATGTACCACTTGTAACTCTTACGAACAGTCAACAAAACCAATCTGCATGTCACATTTGTCAACCAAGCGCCTGTGGTCTATCCATGCCAAGTGTAGCCACATCATCCTCACTATCACTACCTAAAACTGGTGTAGGGCCATGGGATGTACTCCAGGATGTACTCCATCCCCTGGGCACAGCATAGGGTACACTTCCCGAGCGCATGCGGCGGCGAACATACCGACGCTTCACTTGTGAATATGATTCCTCACTATCACTACTCGAATGATCGTCGAGCGCAATAAAATCACAATCCACGTCACTATCATCATCATTACTGAAGTCAGAGGCCTGGCCACGCAAAAATATTAGTTTTCTCTTGTATTGAGGCACAACCGACCGTGAGTCACGAGTGCCCACACCAGAGGTAGAAGGTTGAGGATCGTCAGTGTTTTCTGCACTATTATCGATATCCTTGTCATTCTTTTCGGTCACTAACTGATCAAAGCCGTAGAATTCATCTTCATTTCCACTTCTATCAGTGTCAGAACTATCAGATAGGAAAAGGAGAGTCCCAATTTTCCGGGGAGTAAGAGCTGACTTGCGACGAGGCATGGTGAACAAGGGTAACTGAGCCGGCGTTCCCACAATGCTATGCGGGCGCCTAGATTTTTTGTTTATGGCGCACACCCACCACGCAGACCCGTTCTCTCACATGTAGGCCTATGAGCGCTTTTGCGCTAAATTTGACGACGCTAGAATTTTGGCATAGATCTACGGTTTGGACACTCAACATGAAGCCGTAGATCTACAGGACGGACCCTGAAAGGGTTAATCTGTTCCTGAGAGCTCAACGTTAGGCGAAATTATCGTTAGGCGAATTAATTTTCCCCATAAGAAATAATGGAAATCAAATTAATCCGTTCCTGACACCCCAAAGTATAAAAAAAAAAATTTACCACATGAAATATTAATTTTAATACACACAAACTGAAGAAGACATGCACAGTTACATGACACTTACCTTTATTGAAGATCTGGTGATGATTGATGGGATGGGAGGAGGGGAGAGTGTGGATGGTGTAAATGTTTAGAAGGGGAATCCCCTTCCATTAGGACTTGAGGTGGCAAGTCCTTTTCCGGGGTTACTTCCTTTCTTCTTTTAATGCCACTAGGACCAGCTTCAGAGTCACTGGACCTCTGTCGCACAACATATCTGTCCATAGAGGCCTGTACCTCCCGTTCCTTTATGACATTCCTAAAGTGTTTCACAACATTGTCAGTGTAATAGTCAGTGTAATTCTTAAATCTCTCAAACCAACCTTTGCTGGCCTTAAATTCACTCACATCACCACTAGTTGCTGGCATTTTTCTAATTAAATCATCATGCAACTTCATAGCCTTTTCACACATGATCACTTGAGAGATGCTATCTCCTGCTATCTGTTTTTCATTTATCCACACCAATAACAGTCTCTCAACATCTTCTATCACTTGCGATCTCTGTTTCGAAAACAAAGTTGCATCTTTGGCAAGAACAGCTTCCTTGATTGTCGTTTTCTTGGTCACAATAGTGATGGTTGATTGGGATTTTGTGTGCAACCTGGCTAGCTCGGAGACACGCACTCCACTTTCATACTTAGCAATGATCTCTTTCTTCATATCCATAGTAATTCTCACCCTTTTTTCTGTAGGATTGGCACTAGAAGCTTTCTTGGGGCCCATGTTGACTTATTTTGCAGGTGCAATCACTAAAAAGGCTGTGATAATCTGAAATGTTCCGATTGTATGCTTGGATGCGACCGTGGTGGCTGGCTTGTAAACACTGGCACCCACAGAACAAGTGAGGCGGGCTCAGGCTGCACGTGGACGCGTCTCGAATGAATCGCATTGAGCGAGTTTTTTAGCGCTAGCTGAGGCAAAATTTTCACGTTAAAATGTATTGCTAGGCGGATTTAACGTTATGCGATGCCATCGTTAGGCGAGGGTCCACTGTATATTGGCTCTGTGCGGGCCATAAACAATCTCTATCTGTTTCAGCTCTGATATTTCACTTGCCCTGAATGGGGCCATCATCACTGAGCAATATTCCAAATGTGTTCAGATATTTGGGAACAGACTTATTGGTGGATGGGTATATGAAAGATGAGGTGAACCATAGATCTGATGAAGGAAAAAAGGTGAGTGGTACATTGAGGTGGAGACAAAGAACATTATCCTTGGAGCAAAGAGGAGAATGTATGAGAATGTAGTGGTATCAACA